TATGGGGGTGCCCAAACGTATGAACCCGCATATGCAGCGGACATTGCAACATAATCCTGATTTGTAAGAAGTGATCCCAGGGCATGATTGTTGCTGAAAGTGTAGACCCATGACCAGATCTCGGAACAACCAATGACATCTCCAGCACCAAGTCCCACCCTTAACACGCAATCGGCAACGCTTCCAACATCCGATCCCACTGTTGAAACGCAACCAAGATACCCAGGGAGCCCGGGGTGCCCTGGGTCTCCAGGGAATGTTGGTCTGCTCGGGAATGATGGGCTCATTGAAATGTTGGCCCACAATGTTGGTTTGACAATGGTTTTACCACAAGCCACCCTGGTCAAGCTGTGCAGCATACGACAAACGGCTGACCACCCTTGCGAGGTTGATCCTTGTAGGCTCTTGATTTGGCTTGGCGGAGGGTCAGGTGAAGTATTGTTGCGTTGTCATTGATACGTTGAGGTCGTTAGTAATGCCATAATCATTCCCAAAGTGGGATACACTGCAACCCGGGGCTGAAATGTAATCGCAGAAGCCGAAATCGATAGCACTTCTCAATTTGCCACTGCAACCATGGACAACACGACCACCCTTGAGTACGATGACGATGTCGTGACTGAGTTGAGCTCCATGTACTCCAGTTCTTCCCCTGTGTACTCCCCCATTTCTTCCGTTGACGATCTCAGCGGCTGTATGGAGTTCTCACCCGGTTCACCAGAATCCCCGCGCAAAATCAGGCGCGATGGAACTGCAACCAACACTCGAGGAAATCGAAGGGGAGCTCGAGGACATTTTCGACAACTTTTCAAAGATGCTTGAGGGTCGTGCGCTCGATGTCTCAAGCGGGTTTTTGCGTCACTACGAAACGTGTTGCGTACGCCTGTTCAACACGGCACACCTGCTGATCGCTCCAAGCAACAGCGACTTGTACTTCCAGTGTTTGGATCGCTCTGTGGAAGTGGCGGGGCGGCTCGTACGTGCGCAGGGAACCCACTTAGCAGCTCAATACCAATCGTACCGATACTAGGTCTTGTAACCAAGCATGAAAATCACCCGTTTGGTTTCCACTTGTCTTTCTTTTCCGTGAATGGGCCGGTTTTTACTTCTTCGCAGGAGTATCGGCCAAGCAAATTTCGAATGCGTCGGGTAGTCGTAGGAGTTCTTCACAGTGGTAGTCACTTTCCAATTGCGACTGTCATGCAGACTCGACGGGCTAAACGCAAGACTCAGGACGACGATGCTGACGATGAGACTCCCTCTCCATCTACCGCCCCTTCCAGTGGTCAAGGGCGCGGTCGATCAACAGTGCCTTCATCCCGAGATGGACGTGGTCGTGGCGCTCGAGCTGGTAGGGCGAGTTCGATGTCCCCTTCCAAACCTGCTGCACGCTGCAGGCCAGCCATCATCTGCATCCTCTGGTCCACCAATCAACATTCGTCGCACAAGCCCCACAACCACAACTGGCACGGACGGTCTAGGTTCTAACACTCCCAGAGCGTTGTTTCCATCTACGGCGCCACCCACTCCGACGGCCACGCCATACACCCCAAACCCGCCTATTCCTGCCAACCATATCCTGCCGCAGCTGTTGACATTTCTTCCCCATACCGGGCCTGCTCAGCTCACCCCAGCACAACAAGCCATCTTGGGGAGCCCAGGGGTTCCGGGGGTTCCGGGGGTCCCTGGGTATGCTGGGAGTAGTGGAAGCGGGGTACCTGTACAACAAACTGGACCACAACCTTCACCGATGCCACCACCCTCCACTGCAGCTAGTGCTTCGCAAGGGCCTACATCTACTGCACCATCATCCACGCTGGGTTCATCAACAATTCCAGCGCAAGTCCCTCCACTTCAAATGGCCGCGGCATCGGCTTCCCCAACCAACCCAATGCTTACTGGGCCATCTGGGGATGGCGGGAGTCCTGGGTCGCAAACCACCAGTCAACCGACAAATCCGGCTCCGAGTGTAGGGACTACTGGGTTGCCAGGGTCCGCTGGGTCAGCCGGGTCACCAATTCACATGGGTACCACCCCGCCTCGACCATGGAGTGCTCGAATCGACGCGCTGGTGAGCCGGATGGATCAAATGAATGTTCGACAAGAAGAGGATCGTGAACATGCTTCTGCAATGACAGAGCGGTTGGGGGTCGTGGAGAAGTCCTTGAGCAAGTTGCAGAAGGAGGCGACGGC